GTGCAGACAGCCTGGTAGAGGCGGTAAGTATGAGTGCTTTCTGACGTATGTACAAGCATCAACACAGGAAGAGATTCAGAAGCCCCTACGTGGGAAGGGGCAGTGGTGGGCTCTGCAGCCATGTCACCTGAGGGTGGCTTCTCAGCAGCAGGTGTGGTACTTAAGACCTGAGTGAAACCCAGCTGGCACTGCCAAGTCCTGCCAAAGGGCCCCACCATCTCACCAGCCCATGCCACACTTCCTTAGTGGTTTTGCTCATGCTTGGCCACATATTGCTACTCAGTTCAACATGGACAGTGGTGAGGGCTGTTCACAGTTAGTGTCGTGTGTGAGGTCGGGAAGACATGGCTGATGGGGTCCCTACAATATGCTGTGCAGTGGGAGCTCACGCCATTGGTCCTCTTTTTCTATACAGGTCCTGATATCTGAAGGCTTGGGACGCTATGCAAGGGACCCAAAATTTGTATCAGCAACAAAACATGAAATCGCCGATGCCTGTGACCTAACCATTGATGAGATGGAGAGTGCAGCAAGCACTCTGCTCAATGGCAGTGTGTGTCCTCGAGCCAATGGGGACATGGGCTCCATGTCACACTGCCAGGACTATGAACTCCAGGACTTTGGTCCTGGCTACAGTGATGAGGACCCAGACCCTGGGAGAGAGGAAGAGGACCTGGCGGACGAAATGATCTGCATCACCACCTTGTAGCCCAGTGAGGGCCGGCTGGCTTCAGCCCAAGGCGGGCACAGGAGGGCCAGGGATAAAGTGCCTCATAGATAGGAAAGTTTAGGCACTAGTTGGGAGAAAATGCTCAATTAGACTTTTGTACAAGTGGTATCATGCCCCAAGGAAGCCATAACCTGGTAGGATCAGGTTCTGAGTGGCCGGGTGTGTGGTACACCACACTCAGGCCCAGCCTCAGAAGGCAGTATGTCTGGTCCCTCAAGCGGATGGGTGAGGAGAGGAATGCAGCCTGGCCTACACAGAGGCCAGAAGGGCTGCCCAGGAATTCAAGTTTCACACCCAGGGCCCATGCCCATTTACCTGAAGACATGACAGAGAGGTTAAAGGTGATGACAATCACCGCAACTGTGTCATTACCTCAGCCATCAGTCAAGCATATCAGACACACACTGGGCCCAGCATATCCATTTCCTCCCCCAACACAGCTTCCTGGTTCCTGTGCAGCTGTTCTGAACAGCACACACGAGAACCCAGTGGTCATACTGAGGGGCGTGGGACCGGACAGACACGGTTTTGTTATGCGACACCAGTTTACATAAAAGAACATCACTCAGATGGTCAGTTCTCTCTAGCTAAGGGCAACTGTAAACTGGAAGAGGGACGCACTTGCAAACCAGGTAAACTTAGATATGTTAGTTTGTTTAAAAATTATAGATTTACTGTACATGACTTGTAATATACAATTTGTATTTGTAAAGAGATGGTCTATATTTTGTAATTATCGTATCGTATTTGAACTGCAGCAATATCCATGGGTCTTAACAATTGTAGTTTCCCACCAAAATCTAGAAATTATTAGTATTTTTACTTGGGCTAAACAGAATTAGGAGAATCAGAGCCAATTCTCACGTATTCAGAAAAGAATCTTGGGGATAAACTTTTGAGTTCAGAAGAACTTGACACTAAAGAAATTTTTCTAAAATATTTTGAGTCACTATAAACCTATCTTTACATAAGATATCAAGATGCTACTTGCAGTCTTTTCTTTGGGTTCTATGATTTTTATATTGTACCTCTTATCTGTGTGGGTAGCAACTGTCTTCAGTTTGGTTTCACTCAGTTATCCCCTGCTCACTTAGTTACACAGCAGGTTCAGGCTACTTGGTCCAGGCGCATCCACCGGTCTGGCTTTCTTGGCTGCCCATGCAGGATGCTTCTGGTCTCTGATGCAGAAGTTACCTCACAGGTGAGCTACAGGCATCTGCTCACATCCCCAAGGATGTGGGAGAAGAGGACAGCACTGTGGTAACCTGGGCGTGCTGGGGTCTGTACAGGATGCCCTGTTGCCTTTCACAGATGCTGTGCAGTGTGTCCTCTTTGAGAGCTGTTATACGCAACTGAATGAGGGCCCAAGTTTTCATGAGAATATGTGCACTGACTGTAGGCCCAGGGACAGTCAGCTTTGGAATCATTTGAAATGTAAAGGCTTCCCATTCTGTCAACAGTCACGTGATACCACCCCATTATTTTGCTAAGGATTATCTGCAATCAGAAATACAGGTAGCAAATTTGAGTTCAGAATTTTTAACTAGTATACAATCTGTGGGAAAAGATTTTTTTTTTTTTTTGTAAATAACACTTTTGTTACAAAGACCTCACAAACCTCTTCCTAGGACATTCTTACTCCAGATGCAGGCAAAAACACTTCAAGGTTTGTAAATGACTATTTCCTGACATAAAGCCTTTTTTTTAAAATTAAAATGCAAAATGTTCTTCAGAATAAACTGTGTAATAATTTCATTGTACCGGGAGCTCTCCTCAGAGCTGGCTGTGCAGTGAGAGCTTCAGAGGGGCAGGTGCTCTGGTGCAACCCTGGGCTCAGGCAGCTTTTTCTGCCCTCGGGCTCCTCCAAGGCCAATAGTAACTTCGCACCAGCTGTAGAGAGGGTTGCTTCTCCTAAAGGGCTAAACCACCATCAGCATTTACCTTGGACTCTGTCTTGCTGGGTGTCTGTCTGTCTGACTGTGCGACTTAACATCAGATCACACTCGCCATGCCAGGACTTGGCGTTCTGGAACGGCTGATTATCTTTCCCAGAGTCAGTCCGTCAATGCCGCCTGACTCCCCTTCAGACCGCCCCACCTCCCAGTCTGTCTGCTTTAAGTCTGGTTCAACCTCTCCTCTAACATTAAATTTCTCTTTGTAAGAAACATTTGAAGTTGTAGAGCATGTTTCTTTGCCCCCTTTAAAGTAGATTTTAAGGCTAAATACTTCTGCTTTCTGGTTTCCCTACCCCACCCCGTAAGTGATTGAGTTCTTTGGATTGCTGCATTTAGTTTAAGCTCATGTTTTTTTAACCACATTAGGAAGTATGGGCATCACTATGATCTGCTAACCAACATCAAGGTCATTTGGAATGTAGACACCACTCTGTATATCTCTAGAGGAGTGTGCTTTGAGGGTGTGGCCTTAGCTACCCGTGGAGACTATACCTAGGGTGCCACACCCACTTCCCAGTAGCCCAGCTCTTCAGCAAGACCAGCTTTATTTCAGGTGGTGTGTTTTTACCTTCTTTATCGCCTCTGCCTTTATTTCGAGGGTGGAGTGTTTACTTGTAAAACTGCACACAGCTCTGCTTCCAGGGAACTCCAGGGAACTGGGGAATGGCAGGGGACTAGGGAAGAGTCTCAGACTGTCTTCTGATAGCAGAACAAGGATGAGGGTGGTTGAAGAATATGCTGCTAGAGCTGCTCAGCCAGCGGGGGCCACTCAGGCCATCAAGTGGAGCCTAAGGGTAGATTATGTTCTTCCCACCCTCACCCCCAACCCCTGCTCCTAATTTTGAAGATAAAAACTTTGCATTAGATTTGATATCATGATAGTTTATCAGTGGAAATATGAAAAATCTTGGGGCCTTCGGGATGCAGTGCGGTGGGGGAGAGGAGCCTATTTGAATTTATGGAAAGTAACCTTGCAGCTGGCACTGGAGGCGGAAGAGCGAGCCCTGGATGTTCCAATGCTCCCACCCTGCTCCTGTCTCCCCCATGATCTGCCCCTCACCTGGTCAGGATCACATTTGGCCAACAGTGAGATAGATAGGTGCAAGTTCCCTCAACACAGCAGGGCTCCCCACAGCCCCTGCATGCCCGTCTACATGGCCTGGAACCAGGAGCAGCCATGGGAGGACTTCCGTGAGGAATCAAGTTCTGTCCTGAGTTTGGGCCCCAACAGCAACTTCCCACTGGGCATCTTTGAGTTCTGGGCATGTAACCTTCACTTTTTGTCTCCAGAAACACATTTCCTTATGTGGCTAAGTCATGTCCACGCGTGGAACCTGCCTTGGTGTGCCTAAGTGAGAGAAAGGCCTAGATGTAACTGAGGAGCATGCCGGTGTCGATCTTCTCTCACCCTAAAACATGAGTGCAGAACATGCCCTCCTCATGGCGGCACCTACACTGCTAAGGATGCTATGATGACCGCTGTGTGACCCCTGCTCTAGTGGATTTTCTTTCTTGACCTTCCTTTGGAAGATGGAACAAAAGCAGCCTGGTTTTAGAAAGAAATGCAGTGCTTTACTCTAACCCTTCTGAAAGGCCTTTCTCAGGTACAGCTATCTGAAATAAAACCCCCCCAAAAAAAGTCCAGAACGCAGCTCTGGCCACTCCCAGTCAGTCTTAGTGGAGCCTGAGATTCCGATCAGTGCCACCCACCCCCCAAATTCTTGGCTTTGAGATGCAGTTTCCATACAATGATCCCTTTCTTCTCCCACCATGGATAGTGGCTTTGAACATCATAGAAAAACTAATTCAAAATGCTTTTTTGGTCTTCATTTTCTGTGTAAACACTCAGGATGAGGCAGGTGAGTTGTGCAATGACTTGTACCCTCATCCCTGCTCCTCACTCTTCAGTTCTGGATCAAGGCAGGAGAAGGGACAGCCAGTGCCCTCCAGCTGGCTGCCTTCCCTCTAACTGAACATGAGCTCAGATACCAGCCCTGGCTTAAACTTCTTCCTGGCTCTTGGCCTCAGCTAAAGCTTCCTTAGAGAGTCCAGTCCAGTTCAAGTGCCCTGACCTTGCAGAAGAGACCTTAGGTGAGAGGCCAGAGGAAGGATCATTCCACTCCTGGCGATAGAATAGTGAGCTGGAGGCCTTGTGAGAAAATCATGCAAGAGTTAACCTCCCTGAGTTTTAACCCCAGGAGGTCAGGAGGAGGGCTCCAGCTTACATACTAGCCTGTCTTCAAGGGTCCTCAGAGACACTAGAAAAAAGGGACTTGCCTCACTACTACACAGGTCTTAGCCATGAATAGGGATATCTGGGTCCCAAGAATACACAGTTTGAGGAACTATCCGGAGCAGGGCTGTAAGAGCTGGATTTCTTGGTTTGATATGAGTTCCTCTGTCATCCTCAGGCAGTGGCCGTCTTAACGCTGGGTGGCCAGAGTCTTCGGCTTGTAGACAGGAACGTCCTTGTCCCAGAGTGCAGGGTACCCCTTAATAATGTCAGCTGCTTTCTCTGCAATCATTATTGTGGGAGCATTCAGGTTGCCGCTGACCACACTGGGCATGATGGAAGCATCGATGACTCTGAGGTTTTCCACCCCAAGGACCCTGGTTTGCAGGTCAACCACGGCAGTGGGGTCAGAGGGCTGGCCCATCTTACAGGTGCAGGAGGGGTGGTAAGCACTGTCTGCTTTTGCCCGTACAAAGGCATCTATCTCTTTATCTGACTGGACATGGCTTCCAGGCTGCAGCTCTTTGCCCCGGAAAGGAGCCAAGGCTTCTTGTGCAAAAATTTCTCTGGACAACCTCACACACTGACGGAAATCCTGGACATCAGTTTCTGTGGAGGAGAGATAAATGAGTGCCCCTTCTTTTACCCTGCTGGTCAAGTGTAACTGGAGGACAAAGACCAGGGACATGGGTAACCAAGCTGCAAGTGCTTGTCAGCTGCTCAGAAGCGGTTACAGTGCCAAAAGGTCCATGTTTGTGTCTGAGCTCTGGCTTCTCTGTCAGCCAGAGGTAAAGATGTGCAGTCTACTCTGCTACCATGTTGCTGTCAAGTCCCCATGCCATAGGGTATAAAACCTTCCATGTGAGTTGTGTTTGTGGTGTTGCATGAAAAGAGGCATTCCTGGGAATGCTGCATGCTCTTAATGCTGAAGTAAGTTTGGGGACAGCCAGACAGGTAGTGTGCATGGGCCTGGCATTTGTGTCTTCTGCAGATGGCTCTGAAAGCTGCACCTCTGTCCTGCTGTGTAAAGAGAGTCCCCAGGCTACCTTGTGTGAGCCAGACCTGAAAGCAACCCCAGAGTTAGGAAATAGGAGCCAGAGTAAGGGTCTAGGACAAACAGGTCAATGCCAGGCCCAGGGGAAACAAAGGTTGCTTGAGTTACCTGTTGACAAGTAGTTGGGGTGAATCACAGGGTGGTCCCGAGGGTTGGCACTTCTCAGTTTGAGCCAGCCCACACTTGTGCCCCTCATGGTTCCTACATGTACCTATGAGGGTCCAGAGGAAACAGTTTTAACAGGAATCTCCATTAACTACTGCTCAGAAGCTTAGAGAAGCCCAGGTTCCCTGTGGGTAGGGACTCAGCAGTCAATGTAGAGCACATAAGCTTTAGTACCTAACCCTCTTCCAACCCCCTCTTCCCTGTCTGGCCTTTACTCCTTTGCCTGAAACTTTCAGGGGATGATCCCAGGGCTGAGGTAGTTTTGCCTGTTGTCATTGGTATAGATCCTGCCCCCTTTCCTCTTCCAGTCAGATAGTAGCCACTGGGGAGCAGAGTCCGCACAGTGGGACCATGAAATCTACTCCTATGCAGGAGCAGAAAGGCACGGTCTCTGGGCATGGCTATCTGCATACCTGGTAGGCCTCCTGCTGGGTAGGTTTCCGCCCATGGTCAATAACTTGGGATGGCAGGAAGTGGAACTGGATGTCCGGGTGGGGGACCCCAGGCCGGCTGCGGATGAACCCACCTGTTTCAAGATGGGCAGTGGCTCCATCCCCTGAAGGTCACACGAGGATAAGGCAGAAAAGCCAGTCAGAACATGGCAGGAGGACCATCTTCTCCCACATGCTTCTCTTTCTGGGCGTGGGGCTTAGCATCAGAGACTGGCCATTAACTGTTTTCTTTCTCTAGGTGGCCATACCCAGCATTACAACTTTAAATGCCAGCTCCAATAACAAGTGAGGGGCTTCAGGTCTACAAAGGCCACCTGCTGTACAAGCCCTACCCACATCCTGCTAAGTGGGCATCACCTTGAGCAAGGCCCTGTGCTCAGCCCCTCGACACGTGCTACTGCTTCTTGTCTCCTCACAGCAGCCTGCCAGGCAGGACTTTTGTGTCCTCCTTCCCTTGCAGACAGGAAAATGGGCTCTGGTGACTGTCATCCAACTTCATACCTAGCAATCTGAGGCCCATCTCGGCGCTTCAGGAAGAAAACCATGATGCCCGCAGACCATAGCCCACCTGTGAACCTCCACAACCACTCCAGACCGATGCAGACCTTCCGCAGAGGCATCTGGGCCGAGTGGAGGGTGATGGGATGTGTGCATGCCTGCTGAATGTAGATCTCCAAGTGGTCTTGCAGGTTCTGCCCAACTCCTGACACAGGAAGGAGTGGTTAGGAAAAGTGGCTAACACAGGGGCAGAGCCCTGGTTATGGAAACGTCTCTCAGTTCATTATCTTTTAAGCCAGTCCCTGCCTGCCCTGGCCCCAGCTTGTAAGTCACCTGCCTGTGTCCCTGCTTCTGCTCACTTAGACAAAGTCAGGCCCTCTTTCAAATGCTGCTAAAGCTACCTGCCCTGTCACTCCCTCTAGAGGTACCTTGACCAGCCCTTCTCAGCAGTACCCTCCAAGGTCAGGGCCTACAATTTCCATAGGTACCGAGTGATAAGTGTCACTGTGCGTGGCCAGAGTAACAGTTGTCAGCCCCATCCTCCCCCAGTGTGTCAGAGGAGGAAGCAGTCTCACATGCTGTAACAGACACTACTTAAGTTCATTCAAGCTCAAGGGCATGCCGGGTAGTCAAGGCACAGACAATTCCACAGGCTTCTCAAGGAAAGCTCCCCACGAAAGACCAGCCCTTGTATATGGAGGATGAGGAAGAAATAAGACAGCGGAGCCCTGGAGGACATCACAGACAGCTGAAAAGATGAAGCTTGGGTATTTACATAGACAGTGGCTCTGGGGCCCTAAGCTGGCCTTACCCGTGTTTAGAGCAGCTGGTAAATCTTAGGGATAGACCTGTCATACCACAGACCTATCCTGGTGATGGTCTCAGCCCTATTGTTACAGGATGCCCTCCTAAAGGGTACAGAAGCTGACTGAGGGGGAGGGGCGAAGAGAGCATGAAGACTCAGGAGTGTCTAGTGAGGCCCAGAGGTCCTCAGATGTAGAGGAAGGAAAGAAGGATTTGACACTTACAAGATGTGCCCCCTTCCCCACTCCAAGCAATAAGCTGCTGGGCTCCACAAAGCCACCCTCTGGGCAGCAGTCAAAGGGAGCTCACCAGGCAGGTGGCACACGACAGGGATGCCCAGTTTCTTGAGGTCATCGGCATTTCCAACACCAGAGAGCATGAGCAGCTGTGGAGAATTGATGGCGCCCCCACTCAGGATCACCTCCTTGCTGGCATAAACCTGGGAGAGGCAGGGGACCACCAGTCACACTTCTCGGAAAGCCAGCTGACCTCCTGCTGCCTCATGGAGAGGCACCCAGTTACAGCCGTTACAATAAAGTGACCTTAGGAAATTATACCATGTGGAGCGTCTGCTCCCAGATTTTAAAGAGGAGGGAGCTACTTAAAAGCAATCTGCACATCGAGTCACCATGTGCGACTTTCAGTAATAGCTATAACATTAACAGGGGCATTAAGAACATGGACGGAGCCAGCCGGTGGTGGCTCACGCCTTTAGTCCCTCCCAGCACTCGAGGAGGCAGAGGCAGGCGGATCTCTGTGAGTTCGACACCAGCCTGGTCTACAGAGAGAGTTCCAGGACAGGCTCCAAAGCAATACAGAGAAACCCTGTCTTGAAAAAGAAGAGGAAGGACAGCAGAGCTCCAAGGACATCAGTGCAAGCAGACCCTAGAGTGACTTGAAGCAAGCACCTCTCATGGGAGGGAGGGTAGGGCAAGGCCATCTCTGACATATTGCTGAATGAAGAAAAGCACCATGTATATATAGTATGCTTACACTTGTGGGTTTTTAAACTTCTAGGATCAGTCTAATGGCTTCTGTCAGGCCAGGCCCCTGAAACCATGGAGAAGGTGCTAGGGGACTGCTCGAGGAGGGTGTGGCAGGCAGAGACTTACGGAGGCATTCATACCAGGGTACCACGGAATCTGCAGGTGCCTGGGTCAGGGGCTTCTGACATCTATGTCCTGTGAGACCCCAGGGACAATCCTGCCACCACTCCCAGCTGTTAACTCCTCAAAGGGACAAGAGCATGTGGTGGGGGAGGACAGCCTGGTCCCACATCACTGCCTGCTCTTCCTGCCCTCCACGCTCCCGGGCCTCCCACGAGCTCTGCTCACCTTGTGGCTCTGGCCATTCTTGATGTACTCCACACCTACTGCACGTGTGCCCTCAAACAGCACTCTGCTCACAAGGGTCTGGACCTCAGCCCTGAGGTTGGGGCGGCTCAGTGCTGGATGCAAGTAAGCACAGGCCGTGCTCCACCGCTTCCCTGCAGGGTGGAGCAAGATCATGTATGGCCTGCTGCCCCTCCCCTCATTCCTGGGCAGGAGGAACATCCTGGAGAAAGCAACTCTATCCTGTCCTTGACTATGCAAGGTTTGCCTTCAAGGTATGTCTGTGGCCTGGATACCTACCCTACCAGGTACTGAGAGCCCCATGGCTTGTTCTGTCCTCTTGTGATCAAGGCCCCGTACTACCCACGCTGTTCTGTTTGCACCCAGCCACAAAGGGGTGATGACTAAAACAAGTCTTGTGCCATCTCTTTCTGCCTCAACTTGCTCACCTGCAAGTCTCAGAAGACCATGGGTTACTCATTACACAGAGCTCTGAGTTCACTCTTCTGAGGCCTCTCCTGCCTCCAGCCAGGGCAGTTCATTCTGGCCATAGACACCACAGGACTGAAATCCCTGCCCCTCTCAGCTTCCTGGATCTGTGGCTATAGGGCTTGGCTGACACATCTGGCTGGACAGGCCACTGGAGACTCTGCGGTCACCTCTGCCACACCACATGGCCTAGAGACTCAGCGAATGCCCAGGTAGTTGGGCCATGTCCTGTGACATTCAAGGTAGATAGAATCTCCCTCTCACCTATATCCGGCCTTATTTTGGCCCTTATGGATCATGATAGGGGCATGAGGAATGCATGACTATAATTAGAAGGGGGATAATTAAAAATTGGTACCTTGGTGGATAGTCATGTCCATCCAGCCGAAACCCTCCTGCTGGAAGCCATTCATGTCTTCTGTGAAGGGGTAGCCAGCCTGATGTGCTGCCTGCAGGAAGGCCTGGTGAAGGGGATGGTTAGTTTTGCCCCGAGACACATGCAGCGGGCCATCACTACCGCGGTACCTGTTGGCTCCCAGCTCATGTTTCTGTGCCTTGCGGAAGTAGGGCAGGCAGTGTGCATAGTCCCAACCCTCAGCACCTTGGTGGTGCCAACGGTTATAGTCCTCAGCATGTCCACGGATGTAGACCATGGCGTTGAGGGATGAGGAGCCCCCCCAGACCCGGCCTCGTGGCCAGTATAATACACGGCCGTCCAGGCCGGGCTGTGCCTCAGTGTGATAGTACCAGTTGTACTTGTCATCACACAGGTTGGCCACAAGGGCAGCAGGCATGTGTATCTTCCACTGCAGGCGCTTGCTCCCCATCAACAAGTCCTTGGGACCGGCCTCCAGTAGCAGCACCCGATGATTCGGGTCCTCAGTGAGCCGGCTGGCTAGCACACAGCCAGCAGAGCCTGCGCCCACCACTACAAAGCTGTACTCATCCTGGCCCACAGAGGTGGCACTGCTCACAGCGCGGGGCCATGGCCAGCCTAGCACAGCCCTTGCCAAGGCTCCACATGGGCTGACACATCCTCTCCTCCAGCCTCTCAGCACTGGCCACATGGTTCCAGCCTGATGCTTCTTATGCTTCTTATCTGAGGGCAGGAGCGGGAAGACTCTCTCTTCCTAGAACAGGAAAAATGGCTTTGAGACTCTGAACTCCACAGCGTATGCAGAAGCAGTTGCAGTCTGGAGCTTGGTGGTCACACTGACACACCAAAGTACTTGCCTCGGTTGGACAAGGCACTGCCCCGGAGAGCTAGGACCCAGGGTAGGAATTTGATTAGCAATGTTAGTCCAGAACTGGGGCTGGAGAGAGAAGGGAGGCCCTCCACAGGCTTGGAAGGGTTCCCATAGCCAACTTGTATGTGATATCCGCAGGAACTTGGAGACTGGACATCCAGTTGCTGAACCGAAGGAAGGCTTTCCAGCCTGACAGGAAGAGAGCTACCCTTCCTACTTCAGGCATGGCATTGCATTTTCTTACAGTAATACACAGAAGAAAAGAAAATGCTCTCTAGATGGAGACAAAGTGGGCAACCGAAGGAGGGGACAAGACTGTGGAGCTTACAGCCCAGGGGACCCTGGAATGTGCCAGGACACAGGGTCATGGCCATACTTTGCAAGATCACCTTGTAGAGTAGTAGAGTTTTAACCATGAAATGCCAATGGCTTTAAAAAAAAGTGATTATAATTAAATCATGTTTCCCTTTCCTCCTTCTAGTCCCTCCTGGATACCCCACCTTGCTCTCTTTCAAAGTCATGGCCTTTGTTTCTTCAGTGGTTGTGACATGTAAATATATGTATTCATATTCATGTCATACAACCTGCTTAGTCCATATAATGATATTTGTATATACATATATTAATGACTTTTCATTGGTCTTCTCTTACCAGTGCCCCCCCAGGCTCGGTGCAGAGGTTGAAAAGAGCCTAGTATGCTATTGACCCCCCTCCGATGTCATTCTGTAAATATGTTTCTCTTACTGGTTAATGAATAAAGCCCTGTTGGCAAGATAGGCAGGACTAGGGGACAAGAAGAATTCTGGGAGATGTAGTAGAGAGGAGTCCTGCCCTGAGAGAAAAAAAGAGGTCAGGACCCCCTCTCTGGTAAGATAAGTCCATGTGGAAACACTTAAATATTAACCAATTTCTATCAATCTAAGACAGAGCTAGCCAATAAGAAGCTCTAACCATTGGCCAACAGCTTTATATCTAATACAGTGTCTATGTGTGCGGCTCTATAAACAGGCTGGCCGGAAAGTGCTCGTAATACAAGAGGGTCTGAAAAACCCCCCAACAACCTCTAATCTGAAGCTGAAGTTAAAGGACTGAAAAGCTCCATGTCATTTGCGGCAAGCCTGGATGCAGATCATAACAAATCCCCCTAGCTTTCCCTCAGTCCTATGCCTACCCTGGAAGCAGGGGGAGGGGACAGAGGAAGGCTTGCATCTACAGGAGGAAAACATGGCAGAGCCTCCTGAACACTCTGTCTGAAGTAGGAACTCTGCAAAGAACCCCCCAATCCACCCACCCTACCCCTGAGCTCTAGGCCCCATGTCAGCACAGGGTAGCAATGGTCCAATGCTCAGCTCTCTAGTGGATGGACCAGTTACATCCTTTGTAAGCAGACACCATTTACTCTGGTCTCCATCAGCCTGTTACACAGGAGTCATTATTCCACAACAACTGGGAAACACATAAATACCCTCCTTACAAGAGAGAAAGCACACAGCAGAAGCAGACCCGGTGGTGGTAGACCCATCCAGCAAGGACATTACAGGAGTCAAACTGTACAGCCAGTAGGAATGAGTTTGTTGTCAAGTGGACAAATTGAACAGAATTTTAAGGAAGCACTTACTTTTCAAGCCTGGTGACCTGAGTTTAGTTACCAGGACCCAAGTAAATAAAAGCCAAGCATAGTGGCATACACCTGTAATCTGTGTGATGAGAGATCAAGACGGAGAACTGCCTTGAAGCGTGTGGGGGTCAGGTAGTCCAGAGTACACAGAAAGAAAGGAACAAATATATGGAAGCAGAGGTCCAATTCCCCAAAGTTGTCGTGTGACCTCCACATCCACACTGTGGTATGTGCATACCCCACTAATAAATAGGAATTTGAAATGATCAATCTTCTTTAAAAGCCAAAATAAAAAAAAGTATAATACTAGAGACAAATGAGTTTTGATTAGAGGTAACACAAGGGAATCCATGAAATTGAGGGTTAGGTGAAGAGAATCTTTAGATGAAAGCATGGAAGTGAGAAGGGGTAGACGAGAAAGAATAGGGGACCTAGGAACTTAGATCAACAAGCTAATGTGTTGGTAAGTGGGAAAGCTAGACAAGGCAGGGGATGGGTCAGTTCCTTGAAAGATACAATGTGCTAAAAGAAACAAGATTCTGAGTAAGCCAACATACATAGAAACAACATTCCAAAATAAAGTAGTAAGCCCTGAGAGGTGGATGTTCAGGAAGTTCTCCCAAACACTCAGGGGATGAGAATACACTGCTCTTCTCCAGTCTAGGTCAGAAGAGAGAACACATTCTCACCCATTCTGCGAGACCAGCATTATACTAATACCAAAACCGATGAAAGCATCAAAGAAAAGAGAACTACAGATAAGTATCTCCATGAACAATGACGATTAAATAACCTGGCGTGGGCCAATATGGCTGGCGGGGGCAGCCAAGAAAAATCCCTCAGCTAAACATTAGTAACTTGGATCTAGATTATTTTGTGCCAACAAGACAGTTCAGAGGGTAAAGGTACTTGCTGTCAGGTATGATGACCTGGATTCAATCCCTGGAGACCATATTGTAAGAGGAGAGAACCATTTCCCACAAGCTGCCCTCTAACCTGTACACACATGCCATGACATTCTGTCATACACTGGAAATCATGAACATATACCCAAACATGAACAAATAAATTTAAAACATTTTAAAAGTGTTTTGAATCCAGATTATTTGTAAAAGTATGACCCACACTCAAGTGGGTTGGCCCAGGATGTTCATCATTTGAAACATTTCACATTTGAAAATCAGTTCATGGTGCCCTGAGTTTGTTTACATCCCTCACAGACTATAGGTCAGCTTCCCTACCTCTGAGTCCAAAATGGGGAAATCATTCACCCATTTCATGTGCAAAAAGGACTTTCATCCTATGTCCAAATCCAACATCAAGAAGGTAAGGAATAAAATAAATCTTTAAAAAACAAAGGGGGCTGGGGAGATGGCTCAGAGGTTAAGAGAACTAACTGCTTTTCCAGAGGACCTGAGTTCAATTCCCAGAACCCACATGGCAGCTCACAACTGTCTAGTTCCAGGGGACCTGACACCCTCATACAAATGTACATGTAGGCAAAACACCAATGCACAAAAAAATAAAAATAAAAAATTTAAAAAGGTAGGGATGGGTGAACAGAAGACATCACATGACAAAGGGGAATCAGAAGAATGGATACAGCAGTGCCTCCTAGAACAAGAGTCATGGGATGACTGACTCTTGTGGGAAATGAACATATAAATGGTCTGAATGTCATATATGAGGCCCCACCAGCGATTAAAGAACACAAAGGGAAAGGAAATAATGGAAGATGAGAGACAGAATACAAATGTGAGTGACAGAAAAGAGCTCCAAGAAAAAAATATGTTAAAGATGACATGAACATCAGAAGTCAGCCCTTCCACATTCAGATTCAAAATGTAAGGTGTGTTAAATGTTACAGACAGAGTTATGTCAGCACTGACAGAGACTGCCCCTTATTTGGTCTTCCTGGGATCAATTCAATTCCTACTGGGGTCTCGGGGCCATCAATGTACCCTTGGAGATAATATCAGGGATGAGAAACAGTGGGTTTGCACCAAAATGAAACGTACTGGGGGAAAAATGACTGCAAATGATCTGTCACAGGAAGTGATGGCTGAGGAGAGCTTGAAACTGAATCCTTAAAAGATGTTGGAGACTCCATGGAAACAGAAGTCTTGTTCAAGACTTGAACAAGAAAAGAAAGGAAGGAAAGGGAGGAAGGGAGGGACGGAGGGAGGGAGAGGGAGAGGGAGGGAAGGAAAGATGATAAAAAAGATAAAGTTACAGAAGAGCAGAAGTGAACATACACACAGAGAGAACATAAAACAAATCAATCCCCTTCCTCTTCCTTTGCTGAGATTTTAGAAAGCCACAGTGGGAATAAAGAAAAGAGGAAGAAAAACATTCAGGAACTATCAATGACTAAGAGGACAAGTCTAAAAGACACTTCATAAAGAACTTTCCAGCAGTCACAGTGACAGAGGGAAAACAAAACAAAAAAATGAAGCTTTCTAAAATGAAAGCGTCCTGAAGGTATTAAAAATGAGGCCATTCTTGTTCCTAGTCCAAATATGGAAGGGTCTCACAGAGTGGGGATCTGAAGTCACCACAGGGCTGAGGACCACAGGAGAAGCAAGTTGGTTGGTCACAAGCAAAGGGAGGTGAGGAGCAGGGCACTGCAGAGTCCAATGCAGAGTGGACATTAGAAAGGACACCAGAAGCCAAGCACCAGTGAATCCAGTCAGCCCGGGAGGCGCCACAGGGGAGGGGTGACTCCCTGGGAGTAAAAGGACAATATATTCCTCCTGAATATCTTTAGCAAGGGCTAACTTACACATTATTATCTCTTTAATTTTCCATCTCTGTAAATAGTCTCTTCAAGTATAAAACAACACAGGTACCACAAAGGTTGAAACGTGCAGATATTTGTAGGCAATCTATTTAGAGGTATAGAATTCAGTTTTTTTTTTTTTCCTTGTTGGTTACTATTTCTTATGCCTTGTACAAGATTTAAAGTATATAAGTAACTATGTAACTTAATTTTTTATCTTTTGTCCTGAAATACCATTTAAGCAGTGACAGGACACTGAAAGCAAAGAAAGAGAAAATTATTTCATGAAGTCAGGCAGTGGTGGCACAAGCCTTTGATCCCAGCACTCACGAGGCAGAGGCAGGCAGATCTCAGTGAGTTGGAGGCCAGCCTGGTTTACAAAGTGAGTTCCAGGACAGCCAAAGCTGTTTGTTATACAGAGAAACTCTGTCTGGAAAAGCCAAGAGGAAAGGGGAGGGGGTTAAAACAAATGAAGGAAGAAACCAA